AAAAAAAAAAAAAAAAAAAAAAAAAAAAAAAAAAAAAAAAAAAAAAAGTAACTCTTAATAGTGCAGATAACTCAGACTATGTTGCAATAATACAAACCTGCTGTGGGATAATGCTCGTGTACACTGTAAAGATTTGTCAGCCCTAGTGATTTAATAAAACGCTGATTGGCCAGTAAGCCAGGCAGGAAGTGTAGGCAGGGTGACCAGACTAGGAGAAGGCTGGGAAGAGGAAAGGCAGAGATGGAGTCACCAGCCAGATGCAGAGGAAGTGAGATAAGAATGCTGGACTAAGAAAGGTACCAATACATGTAGCTAAACAAAGACAAGGATTATGGGTTAATTTAAGTGTAAGAGGTAGTTAGTTATAAGCCTGAGCAACAGGTCAAACAGTTTATAATTAATACAAGCCTCTGTGTGTTTACTTAGGACTGAAGGGCTACGGGACTGGGCAGAACAGAAACTTCCATCTACACAAACCAAGTCCTTAAAGTTACAAAGTGAATTATATTAAGATTTTTATTAAAACATGAAAGGATGCTTTTTTTTTTATTTCACATGAGTAGAAATTATTATTTTAGCCATGTCTTACAAAGTGTATTTTGTAATTTGAATATATTTTAATAAAGGCCAGTCGAGTGAAGGCTCTTCAGAGCAAGTAAGTTTCTAATTAACCTGGCAAAGGAAAAGGAGGTAATCTCTGGTGATTTCCTCAGAGGCCAAATGCTTAAAGAAGTGATCTAAAAGACTGCAATACTCCACTCGAATTTGATGCAGCCCTCAGCTCATTTACCTAATTTCTAACATGCCCACCTAGGACAGCTGGCCCTTTGTTACCTAGGCTACTAGTGTTTAAAGCCGTGTTAAGTATAACCAATGTCAATAAAAAGCAGCTCTTCAAATTATTAGAGTAACAATCATTTCATACTCCTCCCAGACTTTAGGAATGTAAAGCCATCCCAGAGCTCTCCCCCTGCTTTTTAGGAAGCCAGCAACCCTTACTGCTTTAGCAGAGCTAGTTTTCCATTGTACTGGTGACCGACCCCCATTCCTAGAATTCACGTGTTTTGACAGGGTTTAGTATGTCCCATCTTCTTCAAGTTCTCTGAACTCCCTGATAAAGACAAGGCTTAAGCTAAGGACCTGCCTCATCTTTGCGACTATAATGATTTCATCATTTTCCTCCACAAATTCCTTCAAAACTGTCAAGCACCTGTGTCCCAGGGAGGGTTGGGTGTAAACCAAACTTTTGAATGGAGACGGGTGTTCCATAGGGAGATGAAGGCAGCCTAGGGAGAAGGCAATGACCTTCCTGGGCTTCCTTCCCTGGTGCTAGGATTTGGAAGCACCCCTGGAGGTGGAGCTACAAACAAATTACATGCATACTGTGTATGCTGCTCATGTGTCTCGTTTTGAAAAGTTTCAAAATACACAAGTGCGTATTTATTATAAAAAGAATATACAAAATACAAAAGATAAATTCCTTCTGACTACTCCCCATAGCCCCAAATCCTCTCATAGACATAACACAGCCAGCAGACTTGGAAAAAAACCTTTCCAGACCTCAGTTACTATATAATACAAACAGCACTGTAGCATGCTAGGTATTATTAAACACTTTGCTTTTCTACTTATTTGCCTGTGGCAGTGGAGCGAGGATCTAACTCAAGGTGTCGTGCATGCTGGGCTCCACCCCACCCTCTCAGCCATTTCTTGACTTTCGAGGTCTTCTAGGTAATTCCCATTATTGTACTGCAGCACGGGCTCACTCTTTCTAACAGGTATGTGGCACAGTACATAGTACAGATGTTCTATGCCTTATTTAGCAGGTCCTCTCCTGGCGGCTGGGTATCAATGCTGTGGTGACCATCCATTCGTACATACCCTGTGCCCAGGCGCACAGTTCTGTTGCAGAGATGCCTACAGGCTGATGCCTCAGTCTAGAGCACACTTGCCTTCGAGCCCCTCAAACAAATCTGTGTTGCAATGCAATGAAATGTTACTAGCATACAGTTTTCTGAACAAGCCAGGAAGGTGTGACCTCACCCCTTTTTACGTTTGTATCCACTTCAATGTCTGGCACAGGGTTGACACTGGTAAGTGCGAAGTGCGTGCTGACTGAGAAGGACAAACTAACGAGACACAGGTGGAAACTGAAAGGTTCAGATCTTAAACTTCCTAGTTAGAAACCAGGTCTTTGTGGGTTAGTGGATCAAGAGTCCATGGTGTGTACCTCAGATCTAGAAAGGAGGAGGTATTTCATTAGGTTTTTTTGCTGTTGTTGTTGTTTGTTTTGGCAAAGCTACAAAATAAATGCAAAGTCTTGTTTTACTTTTGAAGCCTTCTCAAGGAACTTGAGAAGGGAGAACAATGAAGGGAGAAAGAAAAGGTAAGACTGAAAAGCAAACAGCAACTGGGAAATGAGACCACCAAGCTGCAGGCACATTTGCATTCACATGGGTTCTAAAGCCAAAATCTAGGCCAAATACGGTCTCTCTGCAGCCATTCTCTGAAGATTCCATCTCAGGCAGGCGGCTGACCAGGTGAAGGAGCCACTCATGTTTGCTGAGCCTTGGCATGGCGCGTTTCTTCTAGGCAGGTTTTGGGAACACAGCAAAGTCCAGAGTTGACACGAAGAAGATGTCTAATTCCATTGACCTTGGAAATGAGCACAGATGGAGGCAAAGGTGGAAGTTAATGTGACTCCCACAGAACACTGCATACAATGGTACAAGGCTTCTGCACAGTTCAGGAACAAACAGGATAGATGAAGCGAGGTGGAGGGGAGCGGTAGAGCTGTGAATGAATTTATGAATATGCTGAAAGAGATTGACTTGTTTGCGTATCTGTAAGAATGATGAAATCTCTAGTTTTACAGAATAAGAGCCAGCTGAGCTAAGAGCAGTCATGGAACACGGGGACACAACTACTCAAGAGGTGCTAGAAGCACGGGGAGTTCGCTTTGCCTTTGGGGTAAGAGCAGCTCCCCGACTCCAGAGCCTGGCATAGTAAGTAAATGTCCCGCAACCGTACTGCACCTCCACTTCTTTAGGATTTGTCTTATTTTCAGATAGGATCTCACTAACTTGCCCTGGCTGGCCTAGAACTTGGGATCCCCCCCACCACTGCCACCTTCCACACAGCTGAGATCACAGGCATAAGCCATCTCATGTCACTGGAGGTTACTTCTCCTCTGTGCTCTGTCCACAGCAAACTGGCAGCTAATCTTTTCCAGCCATCCCTTCTCAGACAGTAGCCTGGGCTCTCCCTGGATAGCTCAGTCAAGTTGTTTCTACTTGTCCTACTGCCTCTGGCTACCGGTTAGTGACAGATCTATACTCGGGAGAAAGGGCAAAAAGCCGGCCCCTTTCCTCTTGCCTTTCTCAGAAGCTAAAATAAGCTACAATGTTTCTAGTTGGACACTTCCATCTCAGCCCACTCTTGCGCACGTCAGAGGAAAACTTCCCAGCAGAGGCAGGAGCACAGCACACTTCTGCCAGCGGCCAGAACACCCCCTCACACACACCTAGTCCTCACCATGGAAACAGCTATAGTTCAGGACCAGAAAAAGACTCTCACCTTAGAAACAGCACAAAGTCCCTGGGTGGGAGCAAAAAACAGTGTAAGACTAGTATTTTGTCAAAGGACAACGTGAAATAAAAGAGAATTATTTCCATTTTTTATTATTTGGCAGAAAACCAGTAAAATAGAGTGACCTATGTTAACCAGCTTTCTTAAGGATGCTAGTCAAGCACAGTTAATGCCACAGTAAAAGTTGGGCACCCTGGCATCACCTGAAGGCAGAATGGTTTTTGACCATGTTACAAATGACATGTTGGTTCACCGAAGAGCAGACCGTGACTTCAGGTATATCTGGCTGACATGCTGCAGAGAGGTAAGGCTTCACACGTATGTGAGCCATTAATGAGAGAGTAAACTCTTGGTCCACTGTGCTTCCTTTGGGAAAGTTTGTATGTCTGTCTGTTTCAAGACGGGGCTCTCACTATGTAGTCTTGGCTGTCCTGGAACTCTATATGTAGACAAGACTGGCCTTGAACTCACAGAGATCCACCTGCCTCTGCTTCCCGAATGCTGAGATGAAAGGTGTGCATCACCACACCCAACCTTCGTTAGGAACAGTAAGGGCACAGGGAAAGCAAGCGAGACTGTCGGTTCAACGTGGCTTCACATAAGAACACGGACATCAAAGGGATGAGGCTGCTGTGTCCGTCTTGAACATCCTGAACTCACCTCAAGGCTTCCTTTCAGCTGGCTGTCTCTCAGCATCCTTTGAAGTCTGTTTCTGATGCTGGAGATGGAGGCTGTCTAGCTTCTGCACGTCTTCTGTAAGGCTATTTCTGAGATCTGTGTTGTTTCTCAGAAACGCTTTCACCACATCCAGTCGATTCGAGATCTGCAAGAGGAAAGCATACAGAGTGCTGCTCAGGTTAATTTGTACAACGGAATTCAATTCACATAGAACGCTGAGTAGTTTCCAGACGGGCTCCCAAGGCTGGAGCTGGAGCTCAGCAGCAGGCGCATGCCCCTCAACAACCTGTTCCTGCCTAGATGTCTACCAGGAGACAGAAACACCAGCTACTGGCACCCACCCACACATAGGTTAAGTTTGTAAATCAAAAATAAACACATTCTTTCAAACAAGGCACACTCATGCCATGTGTGGTAGCTCAAACCTTTGTCCCAGCACTGGGGAGGCAGAGGCAGGTGAATTTCTGTGAATTCAAGTCCGGCCTGCTCTACACAGTGGGTTAAAGGCCAGCCAGAGATATATATGTCTCAAAAAAACAAAACAAAAACAAAACTACACTCAGCCAGGCATGGTGGATCATGCCTGTTTAAAATCTGTTCTTGGAAGGCTGAGGCAGGAAGATCACCACAAATAAATGAATAAATAAATTAGAAGATACATCTATAAAACAGTATTAAATGTACAGATACAAAATTCCAAGTCAACAGGGTATGAGGTTAAATCAACACTCCTAAATCTGCTCCTTGTTACCCCATTCTCTCCTTTACAGTGACTATAACAAGCCATCTTCTTCTTTTGTTTGTTTGTTTAGTTTGGCTTGTTTTTTGAGACAGGGTCTCTCTGTCTAACAGCTCTGGCTGTCCTAGAATCTGCTCTGTAGACCAGGCTGGCCTCAAACTCAGAGATCCACCTGCCTCTGCCTCCCGAGTGCTGGGATTACAGGTATATGCCACCACCGCCCAGCACCATCTTATTTCTTCTGGAGACATGTCATGTGCTTGTGTGTGAGCTTCACACATTTGCATGTCATCTTTGCACAGGGCCCATGCTAGCCTTCTCTGTATCATTCCAGTTTTAGTATCTGTGCTGCCAAAGCAAGCACATGTGTACACATTTTTGAAATCACATGATCTCTTCTATGGGAGATTATAAGGAGCATTTCATTATTTTATACACGTTTTTAAACAAGTATGTTAGTTCTTTGTCAATTCCACCCATATGCCATGCATTCTGACTGACCTCTCCTGCCCCTTTCATTCCTCTCTTCCTCCTACTCCTCCCTAACTGTCCCTTTCCTAGGCGCATGACTTCTGGTTTTGTTCTTCTGTCCTACTGGGACTATCCACAGGAGCTTGCTGAGGTCGCCAGGGGCTACACAACCTGTTATCTCCCGAGGCAGCTGCAGGAGGAGGTCTGGGGCAATCTGGAAGCAAACAGTGTAAGATAAAAGCAGTTAGCTGGAGGGGAAGGTTTGGACAAGCTAACAGCCGCTGATAAGTTCACTGGGACATCCTGGCCTTTAGTTCCTACAAGAGAGCTGGGTAATCTCCATCAAGATCAGAGTCTAGTTAAGCCTGTAACAGCCTCAGCAGGAACACAAAATGGGGGGTTGGGGATCTGGCTCAGTGGTAGAGCGCTTGCTCAGCAACGCCCTGGGTTCGGTCCTCAGCTCTGGAAAAAAAAACCCACAGGCACAGACTCTCTGATTCTACTAGTAGCAAAGAGTTCTAAACATACATACGTATGTACATATGTACGTACGTACGTACAGACAGACAGACATAGGTTTTTTGAGACAGGGTTTCTTTCTCTCTGTAGCCCTGGCTGTCCTAGAACTTGCTTTGTAGACCAGGCTGGTCTTAAACTCAGAGATCCAACTGCCTCTGCCTCCTGAGTGCTGGGGTTAAAGGTGTGTGCCACCACCACTCAGTAGTATCTATTTTGAGTCAGGCTCCTGTTATATACTTCAGACTTGCCTTAAATATAAGCTCCTCCTTCCCTCAGTCTCAGTATTGTTAATTTATATGTACGAGTGTTTTGTCTGCATGCATGTATGTGTACTATATGTATGATGCCTGCAGAGACCAGAAAAGGACATCAGATCTCCCTGAAACTGGAGTTATAGATAGCTATCAGCCATCATGTGGGTGCTGGGCACCAAACCTGGGTCCTCCGCAAGAGCAGCCAGTGCCCTAAGCCTGACTTTTATAACTGACAACCACGTGGGACTTACTGTCACGGGTGTGGCTTGCACAAGTGATGTTTCTGATTATAGAAAGAAACAGAAGGCAGCTTTAATTCTTAGTTTTTAAGTCTTAGTTTTTTTATAGTTAGCCAGAAGTGCCATGTATAGAGGTTATACTGATTAAATCCCCCAATATCCTTCTCAACCTTTAGCCAGTACAAGGAACCTTATCCCAGATTCCCCATGCTTATTACAAAAAAGCCAGGTACTATTACGGTTGTTTTGATAGGGCTGGGGAACGGAACCCAGTGTTGTGGAATATTTGTTTAACTAGGCCAAGATGTATTACACATTTGTTTATGCTACATTTGTTCAACAATGTAAAAATGTGTTGCATTTGCATTAATTAAATACAATTAACCTGGGTTCAGAGAGGCAGGGTTAGCAGCCAGTTGGCAGGAAGTAGCAGAGGAGCACAGCATGAGGTTTTTCGTTAGTTAGGGTAGTATGGAGGGTGGCTTCTGGGGACACCAGCTAAGAGAAAGTTAGCCAGTTGCTACTCTAACTCTCTAGCTCGAAGGTTTTCCCTCTAGCCTTTGAATCTTGAATTTTATTAGAACAACAGAGATTTAGTTAAAGCAACCTTTACTAAACAGAATCCCCCCCCACCCGCCCCCAGGCTACGGCCTTAGTGCTTGGACCACTAGCAGTTTGAAATGCAGCCACTGTGATGAAGGTAACCTAGCAACCTAGAGCCATGCACTTGCCTACCACCAAGCTAAATGACTAGCCCCTGATTTGGGGCTACAGCATGTTTATTACATAGGGGACCACCAACTCCACACCAACGCAAGATTATTTAAACTCTAACAAGGAATACTAGTCCAGCAGCCCACAACAGTGCAAAGGCAGTTCTTCAGCTCTGGAATGCAGAAAGAAGGGATTGGGACAGAACAGGACCAGTGTGGGCCTCTCAGCCTGCATTCATTCTAAGACTCCACTAGCCAGATGCTAGGATGCCAGGGATGTGGGAGGGAAGACAAGCAAGGCTCTGAGCAGAATGACTGGGGAGCAGGGAGGGGCAGGCAGATGCTGAAGATGACAGGTTAGAAAGCCTGCTGACTGGTTAGAAAGCAGACAAGGAGGCGGGCGGTGGTGGTGGAGGTGGCGGCAGCCTACACCTTTCATCCCAGCACTCGGGAGGCAGAGCCAGGCGGATCTCTGTGAGTTCGAGGCCAGCCTGGACTACCAAGTGAGTTCCAGGAAAGGCACAAAGCTACACAGAG